GGTTTTTAGGGAAAGGGTTTGGGTTCGGCTCAGCACCGCCAAGAAGGTGGCCCTGCTGCCGGTTCTGCCTCTGCGCTACACAGGTTGTTGGTGCGTTGGAAGGGTTGGGGCTGTTCCAGGGATGGTGGCTTCCATCAGACCTGGGGGAAAGCGGCACGGAGGAGAAGGACTTGGGGGTGCTCGTGGATGAGAAGCTCACCATGAGCCAGCCGGCAACGTGCGCTGGCAGCCCAGAAAGCCAACCGTGTCCTGGGCTGCATCCAAAGCAGCGTGGGCAGCAGGTCCAGGGAGGGGATTCTGCCCCTCTGCTCTGCTCTCCTGAGACCCCCCCTGCAGTGCTGCGTTCAGCTCTGGGGTCCCCAACGCAAGAAGGACATGGAGCTGTTGGAGCGAGGCCAGGGAGGTGATCTGAGGGCTGGAGCACCTCTGCTATGGAGACAGGCTGAGAGAGTTGGGGTTGTTCAGCCTGGAGAAGAGAAGGTTCCAGGGAGACCTTCTAGCAGCCTTCCAGTACCTAAAGGGGCTACAGGAAAGCTGGAGAGGGGCTTTGGACAAGGGCATGTAGTGACAGGACACGGGGCAATGGCTTTAAACTGAAAGAGGGGAGATTCAGATTAGATCTGAGGAAGAAATTCTTCCCTCTGAGGGTGGTGAGGTAGTGGAACAGGTTGTCTAGAGAAGTTGTGGCTGCCCCATCCCTGGAGGAAGTGTTCAAGGCCAGGTTGGATGAGGCTTTGAGAAGACTGGTGTAGTGGAGGGTGTCCCTGCCCATGGCAGAGGGCTTGGAACTGGATGATCTTTGAGTTCCCTTCCAACCCAAACCATTCTATGATTCTGTGAAAGCACCGTGTGCCACCGTCGGGCACCGTCTGTGTGGGAACCATTATTTTTTAGTGACGTGCGTCCTGTCCGAATCTCATCATGGAAGGGTATAGCCTGCAAAGGTGCTGGCGCTCTGCGGAGGTGTCAGATCAAAAAATAAGAGTTCTAAGAGCAGGACTTTAGACTTTTTTTGTCCTACCTAGACTCTGCTGTCTGCTGAGCTCTGTTGCAGGTCAGTGGCATAGGGACCCTTGGCATCGTATGGCCCTTAAACACTTCCCAGCGTAACAGGGCAGGGGCTGGGGGAAGTTAAAATTGCAGCAGAAATGGTCTTTGCTATGGAGGGAGCGGTAAGAGACTGGTGCCTCCAGCTCGGAGATGGTGCTGGTACCAGTCGTGCTGTCCTGCCGTGGTCCCTGGTCCCTTTCCTTTTCTCACTGTGGCATCCGTCCGTCTTGTCTCCCCATAGCCTGCGATCACTGCCTGCGGGCTTTGGAGACGGCAGAGGAAAACGCCCAGCGGCTGTTGGGGAAGAGCTCACTGGTGCTGCCTCACCCAGAGCAGTGCAGCATCCGGAAAGACCTGCACCAGCAATGTCCCCGCTGCCAGGTATGGGGCTGCCAGGAGGAACCATGGTCTTGCTGGAGTCACCGGCACTTTTACAGAATCTAGCCAGTCACTTGTGCAGCCCCAAGATGGGTGTCTGCCTTTCCCTTCTGCGTCGCGATGGCTAAAGAGCTGGGGCTCATATGTCAGGGAGGGGGCACAGCTGGGCCTAGGACCCCCTTTTCCTGCTGCCGTAGCCAATGCCGGGCGCTGTGCCTCGCTCTAGGTGACGTACTGCAGTGCTGAATGCAGGCAGGCCGCTTTGGAGCAGTACCACCAGGTCCTCTGCCTTGGCCCGTCCCGTGACGACCCCACGCACCCCCTCAACAAGCTGCAGGAGGCATGGAGGTAGGGGACCGACCTGCCTGTTGCTCCATGGGCAGAGGAGGTGGCTCTCCTGGGCTGGGTGACGCTGCTTGGGACCAGGGCTGAGGACTGTCCTTGCTTTGCGTCCCTGCATGAGGTGACTGGATGGTGGTGGTGGCTGTGGGACGTTGTCCAGCTCCACCTGCTGGTTGGGCAGCAGGTGAATTTGTGTTGGCAGTGCAACACGGCTTGAGCAGTTCTTATTTTTCTCCCAGTAAAGAGCTGCAAAGCCCTGAGCTGTCCGTCCCTCACTCCTGCAATTTTATAGTGCTCATGCAGATCTCTAGCCTCTGGGAGATCCTCCTTGTAGCACCCCTGCGGGTACATAAATTGCGGTCCCTGCTTGCAGATGACAAAATGGGCAGAGAGGGAAGAAGCAACGTCCCTGACCCAAAGCTTGTCACAAACCCAGCTCTCACTGCAGGCCTGGGCTTCGTATGAGGCCCAGGCTCTAGTTTCACGTGATGGTAGGGGATTATTTGTACCCTCAGAGCCGGCAGGTGGGTGCAGGCTTCTTGCCCTGAGCAGTGCTGGGTCCCCGTGTAACGATGCTTCACTGGCCACTCCAGCGTGACGGATGAGTGATGGATGGCAGCTGCCTCTGCCTCCCTCCAGCTTTTTATTTCCATACCAGGACTGATCTGCTCATCTCTTCTCTTCATTCTTATCCTGCAGAAACATGCATTATCCACCGGAGACTTCCAGCATCATGTTGATGGCCCGGATGGTCGCCACCGTCAAACAGGTACGTCTGCAGTTTAGAGCCACGTCTCCTGGTGTGTGGTTTCCGCATCCTGTTATTCCCAAGGACTGATCTCTTCTCCGGGGACTGGTGGGGTTTCTGCTTGAATAAATTTCAACATCTAGTGGTCTCTGGTTATGGAGATAGCAAACAGCAAAGGAGGTTCCTATGTCCTAAGCCCAGCAGGTCTTTTTTTTCCATACCAAAATAGTTAGTCAGAACGGAACCTTTCCTTTGGCTCTGTTTCTTTGGCCTGGCTTTTTCAGTGTTTATTCTGACAACACCATGCAATTGCTTCTGGTCATTCTTGACAGCAGGCTGGATACCTCTGAGCTCAGCGGAGCTTGTCCTCTCCTCCCTCTCTCTTGGCTGGGGAGGAAAGCGGTGTTGGTGCAAGGCCTTTCCTTCATTCCTTTGTCAGGCTAAAGACAAGGAGTGGTGGATTAAGGCGTTCTCCCAGTTCTGCAATAAGACAGCAAACGAAGAAGAGGAGATTGTGCACAAGCTGTTGGGGGACAAATTTAAGGTAAGAGCCTGGCAATGCTTGGCTGTGTTGAATCCCTGAGCCTGCCCTCTCTCTGCCTGTGTCCGTGAGCCTACGGGTGCAGAGGCCCTGTTACAGTTGGGATGGGAGACACTGGAAACCCCGGGCTCAAAGTAAGGGCACAAAGCTCCCCATTAGGGGCTGGCTAACCTGACAGAGACGAAACAGGTTGCTTAGAGGGCTTTGGGCTTCAGGAGATGCTTCTCATTCCTGTGGTGGAGATGCTTCTGCTGTGGGATGGGACAGGGTGATGCTTAGCTGCTGAGTAGGTGGCTTTTGCTGCTAAAATGAGTGGCTTTCACTGCTCTGAGGCCTGTGCTGGGCTTGGCCATCAGCCTGGGTCTGACTCCCAGCAGTGTCTCCCCGCTCTGATGGTGTTGCCGTGTCCTGCCAGGGCCAGCTGGAGCTGCTGCGGTTGCTCTTCACAGAAGCCCTTTACGATGAACATCTCAGCAGGGTGAGTTGAGCCACCTCCTGACTGGCCCAGGAGTGTGGCGGGACTGTCTACTTGGTGCCAGCCCCCCTGGGTCATGTCTGCCCTGAATGCCAGGACTTCCCCTGGGACTCTACCTGTTCCTTGCTTCCCCCAAAGCTCCCTGTGGGATTTGAGGCACTTGCAGAGTGGGGTGCTGCCGCAGGCTGGCGTGGGCTCAGCTGCTTTCTCATCTCCCTTCTGCAGTGGTTCACTCCAGAAGGCTTTCGATCCCTCTTTGCCCTCGTTGGGACCAATGGCCAAGGCATAGGAACAAGGTAACGGGACTTTCTGGGTGCTCCTTGCAGGGCAGCAGAGATGGCATGGAGGGGATGCCATCTGTAAATTCGTGATGACCTTAGACGCAAGAGAGGGAGATGAAGAGGCAAACTTAAAAGCGGTCCTTCATCTTGACTGTGTCCAGCCCTTTCACATCCCTCTGCCAGACCTTGGCCGCTTGGAGCCACCGAGTTTAACCCTTAGATCCCCACCGCGAGGTCCCATCGTGTGCCAGCAGCAGTGTGGGACTATAGCGGTGTCCCTCTGCTTTCTGACAGCTCTCTGAGCCAGTGGGTGCACGCGTGCGATGCGCTGGATCTCCCCATGCTGCAGCGAGAGGAGCTGGACGCCTTCATCGACCAGCTCTACAAGGACATCGAGAAGGGTGAGGCTCTAAGTGACCATGGGCAGCATCAAGCAGTGCTTTTTGCAGTACCTGGCTAAGTTCCTGCTGCTGGAGACTCTTCTCAGGATTCAGGGACGAGGAGAGGTTCCTGCTGGGGACTGGGAGATCCCACTTGCCCTGGTCCACGCAAGCCGTGCCTGCGGTCTTTGGCTTGCTGTGTGGATAGTGCAAGTCCACATTTGTGGGCAGCAGGAACTGTGGCAGGTTGGGAGTGGCTGAAGGGCTGATGTGGAGGTATCCTCAGCAGAAAATTCCCATCTATGCTAAATGTTCAAAGACAGGTTTAATACTTTTTTGGCTGATGCAGCTGTATGAGTACAGGCACAGCCACACTTGAGCTGAGGGTGCAAATCTTCATGTCCTCCATCCCCTCTCGGTGGGGAGGGAAGGGTGCTTTGGAAATCACCTTCCAACACCCAGTCCCCAAAGCAATGCTAGCTGGGTGCGTTCAGCATTGGTGGATATCCCGTCATGCTTGTGCTGAGTTGCGCGTGCGCAAGAGCGAGAATGGCCCATGGGAAGCTCTGACCCCCCTCTCTGTGCTGCAGAGTCAGGAGAGTTCCTCAACTGCGAGGGATCTGGTCTCTACGTGCTCCAGAGCTGCTGTAAGTAACACAAGGTCTGGGAGGAAAACTAGTAGTGAGGAGGGGGATGTCCTGGGATAGACTAGCTCAACCTCTTCCTAAAAGCCTCTGGAGAAAGGGGTTTTCACTTCCCATCCAGGGGTGGATTGGGATGGGTGCTGCCCTGAAGCCTGGCTGCTGCTGGGGTCTCCTGCTGTCTCACCTGGCTATGAAGCGGTCAGTCCTGGCTTGAATGAACTTGGATGCGACACAAGCTGTGGGAGCCACGCGTGCAGTTAGCAAAGAGACCATCTCCATCCTTGTCTGAGCAAAATGGAGCTGAACAAACCATTAAGGGAGAGAACCTTTCTTGGCTGGGCCATGGGGACGTAGGAGATGGTGTCTCAGTACCTAGAGCTGCCTCCTTTCACTCCTTAGCATTAACGGCAGAGCAAGGACGAGCAGGGCCTGGGAACTGACTGCTGGGAGAGCTGGGAAGTGGGGGAGATGTACAGCCTTGCGCATCCTTCCTCCAGCACGTGGAAGCAGGAGATGGTGCTGTGCATCCCTGGGGTTGATCCAGGACAGCTTGCTCTTTCTCAGTGATTTTTGTGGGTCGGAGGGAGAGCCCTGGCGCTGCGCCGCTGGACCCTCTAGTCCTCAGTGTGAGTGCAGTGCTGGTGTCCCCGAGGCAGATGGGGTGGCCGCAGCCTTGTGCTGCCTTATCCTTAGCCAGGCCTTGGCTTTCCCAGTTGGAGGCACTGGCTCCCACGTGCCCAGGCTACACAGAAGGGCAAGCACGAGCCCCGTGGGCTGTGTGGGGTCTCCGACCCTGCCTGTGCTTTCCCGTTCCTCTGCACACACCTGCACAGCTGCATCCCGTCTTCCCTATAGGTAACCACAGCTGCATCCCCAATGCTGAGACATCCTTCCCGGAAAACAACTTCCTCCTGCATCTGACGGCTTTGGAGGACATCGAAGCAGGAGAGGTGAGACAGCAGGGCTCGGATGGACCTGCGGTGGCATCGCATCTTGGCAGAGGGTCCCTGTGTCCCCTACATCTCCTGTGGACCCCAGCCCCGTACCGTCTGCCCTTTGTATTGTCTCGGCAGAGGAATTTGTGCCTTGTTCATGTAAGGGCTGCCGGACCCCATGTTTGTGCCCGATTCTCGGAGCAACTGGCATAAATAGTGCTGCTTTGGGTTCTTGGGAGGTGGTTCCCAGCCCAGCTGTTTCTCTTTGCTCACAGGAAATCTGCATCAGTTACTTAGACTGCTGCCAGAGGGAGCGGAGCAGACACAGCCGCAACAAGATACTCAGGTAGGGGCTGCTCGGAGGAACCCGGGGGGACGCGGTCCCCCTGGGCACCCCCAGCCAGTCGGCCTGGGCCGCGTCCTCGCCTCGGGGCCCTGTGCGTGCCCTGGCGTGCGGCCGTGCACGAGCTGGTGTGCTTGTGTCAAGGTGTGCGTGCAGCACGTGGCACTTCCGGGCTTCCTCCGTGCTGCCATCAGGCCATGAAGGACTCGTCTCTGAGTGAGGCTGGAGCTCCCCGTTCTCACTTCTTGTGGGTTGGAGCCCCAAGGACCCAGGATTTGGGCTTCCCCTCTCTTGCTCCGCTCTGCAGTTGGCTCCTGTAAACCCATGCTGTCCTCGCCTACCTT